AGGAAAGCTCCGCTCTGCTTCCCACAATGCAGTTCGGCGAAAAGTGACGTCACCCCATTCAAAGTGAATGGGCAGACGCGTTGGAAACCGTTTTTGAAGCTGTCAAAGCTGTAGTGTGGACGGGCCGTAATAGTACTGTACTGCATCATATTATTTCGAATCAATAATTGTTCAAATTATGATTTTTTTTTTTTTTTTTTTATATAACCATTTTTCTTCCTGGTCTCTCGTGCCCCCCCTGGCATGCCTCTGCTCCCCCCAGGGCGGGGGCGCGCCCCCCACTTTGAGAACCACTGCTTTAAAGCAACCCAACGGAAGTTTCATGTAAGTTTAGTTCTTTCACTCGTAGCTCGGGCTGCGGGGGTGCTAGAGACGGGAGCACGTTGATACGACCTTCTTAGCCGGAGATATGGCCGCATTTTATTATAAACCTCCGTTGGGTCGCTTAAAAATATATATCGCAAATCGAATTGCAATCGCAATATCTGTCCGAAAAATCGCAATTAGATTATTTCCCCAAATCGTGCAGCCCTAATCTGTATGCTAAACTTGAAGCTACAATAAAGAGGTCTTCCAATCAAACACTTAGCAAGAAAGTAAATACATGTATATAGCCTATCATTTTGCAAACATTACCCACATCTGGTCCAAAAACTATTTATGTTTTCCCTATAATTTCGAGTTGACTTGCAACCTAATACATTGAGTCTGAAACACAAACAGCAAAACATATGATACATATGTCACCTGCTATGAGGCATTTATAAAACTGTAGGAGTTTAGAGAACACAAATAGGTAAAGGAGGTCATATATCAGGCCCTAGCTCTAAAGCATGTGACAGAGATAATAATGCATTGCTCTCTTCTTCTGCGTTAGTTTGAACCTGGGTGTATTAGGAAGGTCTGCCTGCGCTATAGGCTACTGAGAGAATAGAAATGAAAAGGAAGAGATGGAGGGTGTCAGGGTAAAAGCAGGAGGAATAAAAAGAGTGTTCTCTCTGTATGTGCCAGAGGACCTCGCCCCGGGGACTTATCTCCCGTGCCCGTGTTGCCGATCCGTTAATGGCTGGCATCATAACTCTCTGCGCAGAGGCTGTTTGCTGCAGCTTCTGTCACAGGTTCATCATTACGCTGATAGCTTAACACTCGGGAAGGAAACAAAGTAGCTTTCCACTGGTGTAAATCAATCCTTTGACGCCAGGAGAAACCCTGAGAGTATATCCACAGCACTAATACAACCCACTGAGAGAATACAAGAAGGTATATAAAGCTAATCGGACCCAAAGACTGGAGCACTATTAAAGTGCCCTGAATCAGGATAGTTTGACTAATTGATGACACCATTTTCTTTTTTTAAAAGGATGTTGCAAAGCTTACATGGTTATGAACTGTATAACCTTAATTCATAATGCAACATAACATATACGAATAAAACAAGTTTGTTAAATTAAAAACTTAACACACTTACTAAAATATCAGTAATCCTTTACTTTTCCTCCTTTATACGAATCAAATCTTGGCTCATCATCTGCAATTGTCACGACCTTAACACAAACTGGAGAACACAAATGCACGACCCAGAGACAGTCTTGAATGTCTCAAAAAATGAAAACAGAAAATCCCTCTTAACAGAGTAGTTACTGGATTTAACAAAAAAGCGCTCACAAGGAGGCAAAAACTAGTGATGACAGTTTGACACTGAAGCTTCGAACGGAGCTTCAACCCTGGACTTCCTATTTCATAGAAGCAGTGCTTCGAAGCTTGCTTCAAATCACGTGACATATGACGTCCGAAGCAGCAACTGCTTCAAATCACGTGACATGTGACGTCCGAACCAGCAACTGCTTCATTTCCTGAATGGACCACTTGACTGGTTCGCGGTCCATTCACGCGATTCAATGCACTGCCGTCTCACTCGTCTCGATTCTGACAGGTTGAAACAGTTTCGAATTTGAGCGCTTCACTTTATAACCGCTCTAAACAATGCGCAATGTGTGGGTTGTTGTCGTAGTTTGCGTTGTTGCTGTTGAGTTGCACGCATCTCTGCTTGTCTAGCCGACATCTCTCAGTGGATGTCTGCTCATCACCTCAAGCTCAACCTTGACAAGACTGAGCTGCTCTTCCTTCCGGGAAAAGATTGTCCCACTCTTGACCTAACAATCAACATCGGCACCTCAGTTGTTTCCCCGACTCAGACTGCAAGGAATCTGGGTGTGATCCTAGATAACAAACTGTCCTTCACTGCAAACATTGCTGCTACAACCCGCTGCTGCAGATACACGCTTTACAACATCAGGAAGATACGTCCCCAGCTGACACAGAAAGCGACGCAGGTTCTGGTCCAGGCTCTCGTCATCTCACGCCTAGACTACTGCAACTCCCTCCTGGCTGGTCTACCTGCATGTGCCATCCAACCTCTGCAGCTCATCCAGAATGCAGCGGCTCGTCTGGTCTTCAACCTACCTACATTTTCCCACACTACTCCGCTCCTCCGCTCCCTTCACTGGCTTCCGGTAACTGCTAGAATCCACTTCAAGACACTGGTACTTGCTTACCATGCTGCGAATGGATCTGGCCCTTCGTACATCCAGGACATGGTTAAACCGTACACCCCAGCGCGTGCACTCCGCTCTGCATCAGCCAAACGACTCGCTGCGCCCTCGCTGCGAGGGGGACCCAAGTTCCCATCAGCAAAAACACGTGGGTTTGCTATCCTGGCTCCAAGATGGTGGAATGAGCTCCCCATTGACATGAGGACAGCAGATAGCTTACACATCTTCCGGCGCAGACTGAAAACTCATCTCTTTCGACTCCACTTCGAGCGATAGAACTTTTAACAAAGCACTTATATACTGATAAAGGACTGGCTTATCTAAAGCCAGTTGAGTAGCACTTGAAATATTTGGCTCTATGAAACCTGATGTACTTATATGATTCTGTTTTCTTCAAGGTTGTGTCTTCCTGGTCGAATGTACTTATTGTAAGTCGCTTCGGATAAAAGCGTCAGCTAAATGCAATGTAATGTAATGTAATGAGTTGTTGTTGTTATTGCATTTGAATTGTAGTATCATTATAGAGCAAGCCAGGAAGAAAGATAGGTCGTTCTGGCTCGGGAAACACTTCGAAATGTGGAGAAGTTGTGAACAAAAAGACAATTATCAGTGATATAAAAACACTTCAATGGTCTAAGGCAGGGGTAGGCAAGTAAGTTTGGCCGTGGGCCAATTTTTTTCTGAGCCACAAGATGGCGGGCCAGAACATAATCAAATTCAAGGAATTAATTTTGGTAAGAGGGCGCAGCGCCCCTGTTCCCCGGTTCAGAAAAAAACTCTGATATCGCTGATAACCCTCCCCATCAACACTCTGATGCGCAGTCAGATCCGCTGATTGGTTCACTGATGATATAGGCGCCCAATCCAGAGCCTCTGGCTAGACCTGCCCAAAGGGAGGCTCGTCGTCTAGCCCCATTTCAGTCCCAAAGCCAGGTCTATTATCTGTATTTTAACAGACTTATCTTTTAAATTGAGGTGTATTTATTGTTCTCTTCAAAGTAAATTTTTCTCTGAAATTGTAGGGAGGATGGTCCTCCCTTTCCTCCACTGAGTAAAGTAGAGTTATTAACTAGGTAGCAGTGTTATTTAACATACTTTTATTGTCAAGTTCTCTGGGTTTTTGGCATTTATTTGAGTGTTTGCCCACATTTGAGAGGCTTGAGGGGCAACAGAGGATGCATGGACAACTCGAATCCTTTTTCCTTTTCTTTATTTCAACTTTTCAAGGACACATTAGGATTCTTTCAGGTTGAAAACCTTTAAAAAAAAAAGAAGAAATTACATCATATTTTGCTTTGCATAACCTAAATTAATCAGTAACCAAGTATTTTACTCAAACTCAATGTATTTATTAGTTAAATCACTCCTCGCCCTCCATGATCAAGCGGTTTCTCCAATTTTGTTGTCAATGTTTTGCCTGAACTTTGTTACTGTTCACATATAAGTAAACATTACGTTTGAATGATTTAGTGAGGTGGTGTTATTTTTTTCAAACCACACACCGAATGTTGGCTATTTCAGCACCACGCACTGTCCACCTATTGATCCACTATCAGCGTCAGTGCACCCCATAGCCTGATTGTGCCTGTGCTGTGTGTCGTTCACTCTCAACATGGATAGGGTAATAAGCATTATTCAGGTGTAGGTATATTGTCTATTCGGACATTATAGCCTATATGTGCGACTGTCGGTCCGATGTTGTAAAAAATAAAAATAAATCTCCAAATATATATATTTTTTTTTATTCTCAAAATTACGGGCCAAATATTATTCCTGGCGGGCCAACAATGGCCCGCGGGCCGCCTGTTACCGACCCATGGTCTAAGGAATAGATAGCCCAGCGGATAGAGCCGGCGGCCAGGATAGAGCCGGCGGCCAGGACGCAGCGATGTCCTCCGCGCAGCTGGTTCAAAGCCCGGAATAGTTAAACTTTGAATCATTGCTTTTCAACTTTAATACTTTAATGACTGATAAAAGGCCCTCTCCTCCCAAAAAAATGTCCAGCACTCTCTAGTCTCTTCTCAATAACCCAATGCACACAATTATCAATCTTTAATTGCAAATCGAACATGATATTCAGTCTTAGTGTGTGTGTGCATCGAATATTTTTCAAGGCAAAGATACTGTAACGTTCCCAAGATGAGTCGGAGACAGGCTTGTAGTTATTAGGCTTTAATAACTAGTATTTGAAGACAGTTGATAACAGGTCAAGTACACTTTGTGGGTTCTACCACACACTCCACTCACACTAACACTAACTTCTACACATACCCATATATATAGCACTGTCTACGTCACAACTCCCCGCCCTCCCCCGTCCGCTCCACCAACCACAGGCCCGCACCTCAGCCACCATCACGGTGCAGCTCTATGATTGGCAGAGAGACGGGGGATGCCTAAGTGACACCCTGAGTAGCCTATCAGGATCGCTACACTACCCCCTCACTACAAAGTTCCTCGCCCACGAGGAACAAATAAAACTCAGCACAAACACTACCCCCACCCTCTCCAGTACTCTGCAGGGACCAACCCACTGACTGTCCAGTTTTGGGCACCGGCCTTTCTTCCGTTGTGGGCTGTAGACCCAGACCAGCTCCCCGGCCCAGAAATGCTGCCCTCTTGTCCTAGTGTCATAGTTCCGCTTCTGTCCACCTTGTCCAGTCTCAGCTCCATCTCCTTCAGTTCGCCTCCGAGTCTGAACCTCACAGAGTCCAGGGTCTGCTCCACCTCTGCCTTCATCGAGGCCTCTCTGTGTTGGGCGTTCTGCTCCATGATACTCCTCTCCGCTATAGCTACGCTTGCCTGCTTCTGGGACTCATCCAGCTGAGGTTTACAGGTATCCAACTCTGCTTCTGTCCTTTTCAGGGCTTCTAGAGTTTTCAAAGTCTCCAGCTGGGATTGTCCTAGCTTATTCTGGAGCTCGTTGTAACCTTGCTGCAGCGCCTTAGCGTCTCTACCCATCTCGCTGATCCTCTCCTGGTACTTGATGCAGTCCCTCTGCAGCTGCTTCTCCCTCAGCAGCTCCTCCTGCTTACCAGACTCTGCTTCTGTTCTCTCTCTCTGTGCTTGCCTCATGTCCTCCTCCAGCCTGGCGGCCCGGTCGCTCTCGCTCTGCGCCTCAGCCTCCAACTCGGCCCGCTCCCTCGCCAACCGCTCCACCTCCCGCTGCAGCTCGGCCAAGTGCTCCCGGTTGTCCGCCGCCTCCTGCTGGTAGTCTGCGATGCTGCCATTGAGCTGGGACAGCTGGTTCGTCAGACGCTCCTCCAGGTTGTCCTTCTCGGCTTCCAGGCTCCTGAGCAGCTCTTTGAACTGCGCCTCCCTCTTGGCACCCTCCTCCACCAGGCTCCTTTCTCTCTCTTTGCCCTCTTGGAGGCACTTCTCCAGAGAGGCCACAAGGCTCTCCTTCTCTTTACTCTCCTGGAGATCTCGCTCAAGAGAGGCCAGCTCCGCTTTGAGTCTAGCCTCCTGTTGCTGCCGCAGTTCCCTCTCTGCATTGACAGCTGCTTCCATCTCCCTCATTTTCTCCTCTAATAAAACTTTGACACTTTCAGTCATTTCGGTAACCCATACAGGCTTCTCCTCCACTCTGCAGCTCCTCACAGCCGGTGGTACCGGCCTTCCGTTGCTCCTCGCCGCTACACTCCACAATCTCTCTCTCCACAGCCATCTCCAAGGCCGCCTGCAAGGACTGTGGATGCTGCAGCTGTACCCCAACCCTCAAGTCCGCAGGGAGGAGAGCCCTGATGAATTGATCACGTGCCAGTTGACTCTGCACTCCGGGTGGCATGTGTGCATATGCCCGCCGCGTCAGGCTCTCCACGTCGTTAGCCAACGCACGCAGCGTCTCTCCAGACTTCCTACAGCGGTTACTCAATTCGTTCCAGAGCAGCTCTGGCGGGAAACACTGTCCAAACCGCCTCTTCAAAGCCCCCGCTAACGCTTCATAGCTGTGTCGGTCCTCAAGGCTAAGTAGTAGCAGACATGAAAGAGCCTCTTCTGTGAGGCACAAAGCTAGCTGTAGTGCTTTAGTCTCTACTGACCACCCCCCGGCATGAGCAAGCAGTTCAAATTGGGCATGGAAAGCCTCCCAGTCTGCCTTACCCGAGAATGTGGGTGTTTTCACTGACCCGGCGGCGGCTGCTGCGGGTTGATGGGCGCCGCCATTGTTGTTTACCTCCAGCTTGGAAATGGCGCGAACTGCCGCAGAAGACCGAGACATTCCCGCGTCTCTAGCCATCCTCACCGCCGACTCTCTCAGGCGCTCTCTCACCTCCCGTGCACTCATGAACTCCTCTCTCATGTCCTTCGACCACCCGCATGCTCCATCTTCCTCTTCATCACTACTGTGTTCCTGCTTCACTCCCATCTTGCTGAACTTATCCATCCCCGCTAGCTTACCGGCTAGCTCCGTGACGCAGTTACGACTCTCTTCCGGATAGACGTCCCTTGTTCGAAAAGTTCACTTCTGACACCAATGTAACGTTCCCAAGATGAGTCGGAGACAGGCTTGTAGTTATTAGGCTTTAATAACTAGTATTTGAAAACAGATGATAACAGGTCAAGTACACTTTGTGGGTTCTACCGCACACTCCACTCACACTAACTTCTACACATACCCATATATATAGCACTGTCTACGTCACAACTCCCCGCCCTCCCCCGTCCGCTCCACCAACCACAGGCCCGCACCTCAGCCACCATCACGGTGCAGCTCTATGATTGGCAGAGAGACGGGGGATGCCTAAGTGACACCCTGAGTAGCCTATCAGGATCGCTACAATATGTTAAACCCACTGCAGCCTTGCACTTCGCCAGGAGAGGTTGCTGTAAGTGAAGCTTCGAGAAATTAACCTATTTCCGACACAATTGTCCAAGTGGTTCGATGCTTCATTCAAAGCTTCATTTTGCCATCACTTGCAAAAACAAGCGTAACAAAAAGAGAATTTAAGATTAACTTAAGTTTACAAAAATAACAAAAGCTGACTAGACTGGAAATGATCCTCTCTTTGTTGAAGCCTGGCAGGACCATCTATGCAAACAAACAAGACGAACTGACACAGGACAGGGGGAGACAGGACTATTTAAACAAGAGGTGAGTGGGAACAGGTGGAAACAATCAGGGGCGGGGCAGACGCTGACAAGGGCGGGAACACACACAAAGGAAGGAAGTAACAGGGCCTGAAATGAGAGACAAGAGGTAAGTACAAAATAAAACAGGAAATGGAAAATGAGACATGACATGAAACACAGGGACTTGACTAGAGATGATATAAATAGACAGACATGACATGACGTGAAATAACATGAAAAGACAGACATAACACATACACATAACTAACACATTTCACGAGACACAACAGCAATACTGTTTCTAGCCTGTCAGCTGTTTATTATATCAATATTATACATTTATATTGCAGTAGAAGAATTACAAATAAACCTCAGGTAGTACTATTCAATATGTGTGCAGACAAACCAATACATTCAATGCTAACCTTTGCAAACTGTGGCTGTTCTCATTCATAACACTCCGTTCGATGTCTCACTATGGGATGCGCCTCAACGCGTATGCAAACAGAAGCATCAATCTCATTACGCCAATCCTGATTGGCTGGTGATCTTGACATCAACGTCAGGGAATCCACCCACCCTTTAAGTAGCTTGCGCTACGACGCAGCGTCATTCAAACACCTCTTCTCGCTTCAGAGCACATCTCGAATTATCAGTAACCGGGCTAGCTTAACGGTCCACAGACTGAACCCAAAGCTAACATTCGGTCAACGGGCGCTTGCCAGTTACTTTTTTGCTTTGCAAGAAGACTGAGCAATATTAACACACCAGTTAATATTGTAATCTGCCTCGCCGTTCTTTCTGTCGAAATAACGGTAAGGTTTGATTTTTTTCTTCAAGCTAGTAACATACCTGTTGCTAGTTTGTTCTTCCCTCCACACCGACACCACGGTAAAGAGGACGTTCTCTTTTCTCTCTCACACCAGAGGAGACAGAGATAAAAAAGGTATTAACACACCAGTTAATATTCTTTAAAGAGTAAAATCTACACCGTCGCCTTTTTTCCTTTCGGACTAACGGCAAGGTTGGATTTTTTCTCAGTAACGTACCTGTTACTAGCGCGTCCACTCCACGCCGACACCCCGGCGATCGAAGATGGACCCTTCTCTCCCTCACACCAGAGGAGTCAGGGACTCGGAGGCTCGGCTATGCTGCTGCGGGTTTAAAATTTCAGGCACTACCCACTTCACCATGAAGAGCCTCCGCCGACGGCTAGCACGCCAAGCTAGCTTGTCGGGACAGGACCCCCTCATGTCCGCTGATTCGCCGTCCGGCAATCAAGACATGGTGGCGTCCGCCGCAGAGATTGAGCCCCGCGCTGTGTCAGGCTGGGGCTCAAGAACAGCGACAGCCGCTGAACCGGAGCCCCGCGCCGTTTCAGGCTGGGACCCGGTGGCGGCAAGAGCCGCGAGAGCGGAGCCCCGTGCTGTGTCAAGCTGGGGCTCCCAATTGGACCTCACCATGGTTCCACCCGCGGAGGATGTCCTGGAGTTGGACTACATGGAGGACGAAGAGGATACCTCTGAGTTCCTCCTGTCTGACTCGGATGGGGATGACATCTTTGTTTCATCGGCTCAGGCTGCAAAGCTGGGAGCGATGTCCGCTCCCCCGGGTGAGAGCACACCAGCTTCGCCCGTCCTAAGCATGGACTTGCAGGCCGTGTGTCAACGCGCTGCGTCCAGGCTGGACATCCCATGGCCTGTTGCCTGAAGTGGCCAAGGAGACCTCCAGATCTCGCTACGAGGGGAAGAACTTGCCCCAAGCAGCGAGGACGAAGAGGCAGCTCCTTCCAGTCTTTCCGGAGATGCTGGACGAAGTGTCGGTCTCTCAGCCCGCGAGTGTTTGTACGGTGTACGGTGTACGGAAGCCGCGATAGCCCCGTTAAGACAACAGGGTATTCGCCTGGCAACTTATCTGGACGATTGGCTCCTTCTCGCACAGTCGGAGCAAGAGGCTATTACGCAGACGAATGTCCTCGTAAAACACCTGCTCGACCTGGGTTTTGTAATAAACACAGAAAAGAGCATGTTGTCTCCAGCCCAGACTGTACTCTTCCTGGGCATACGCCTGAATTCGGTGCCCTTTACAGCCCGCTTGTCAGCAGAGAGAGTGAAAGCCTTCGCTCATTTCCAGCCACGCAAATATGTTCTCTTCAGGTCATGTCTGCGGTTGCTGGGGCTCATGGCGTCAGCCATTCTGGTGGTACGACTGGGACTCTTACACATGAGGGAGTTTCAGCGCTGGGTAGCTGCCCTCAGATTGGACCCTGCGCGTCATGGCGCGCGGAGAGTAATGGTCACTATGAAATGCGTAATGGCTCTGCGCCACTGGCTACACCCGACTTTTCTAGTACGGGGCGTGCCTATGGGTGCTGTCATATCGCGGAAGGTGGTCACCACAGACGCATGTCTGACGGGCTGGGGGGTATACGAAGGTCGACCTGTGAGGGGTCTCTGGAGCAGAGACCTCCAACGGTCACACATAAATTATCTGGAGCTTTTAGCGGTGTTCCTCACCCTGAAACGCTTTCTGCCTTTTCTCAGAGGACATCATGTCCTCGTGAGGACAGACAACACGACCACAATATCGTATAAACCGCCAAGGGGGTTTGCGTTCTCTCCAGTTACATATGCTGGCACGCAAACTGATCTTATGGAGCTGCGGACGTCTCCTCTCTCTGAGAGCGACGCACGTACCAGGAGTGATGAACCTCGGGGCGGATCTGCTGTCCAGAGGTGCACCACTATATGCAGACTGGACTCTACATCCAATAATTATGAGTCAGCTGTGGGTGCTTTACGGCCGAGCCGCGGTAGATCTGTTCGCATCTAAAGAAAATGCTCAATGTCAGCTGTTCTTTTCAATGCACGATTTAAACGCACAGTTAGGCGTGGACGCACTCGCGCACGTTTGGCCTCCGGTCCTTCTGTACGCGTTCCCACCCCTGGCTCTGATACCCCCAACTCTGGCCAGAGTGAGAGAACAACGCCACACACTTATCCTGATAGCTCCGCACTGGCCTGCAATGTACTGGCTGGCGGAGATATATCAGCTGCTGTGCGGGCAGCCGTGGCAGCTCCCACTACGCAGGGACATACTGTCTCAGGCGGGGGGGCGATCTTTCACCCACACCCAGAGCGCTTGGCGCTATGGGCCTGGCCCGAATGGTACAATCTGAATACAGTGGGTCTCCCTCAGAAGGTGATAAACACTATTCAGAGTGCAAGAGCTTCCTCCACCAGGTCTCTCTATGACTGTAAGTGGAGGGTGTTTGAGGAGTGGTGCCTTCAAAAAGGACACATCTCTTTTCAATGTCCTGTCGGGGTGATTTTATCATTTCTACAGGACTTAATTGATAAACACAGAGCTTTCTCTACGATCAAAGTGTACCTGGCTGCTATTGCTGCATGCCATGTGGGCTTTGAGGGAAAGACGGCTAGCCAACATCCTTTGGTCTGCCGTTTTATGAAAGGGGCTCACAGGCTCCTCCCGGTTTCCAGGTCACTGGTGCCCTTATGGGACTTGGCAGTGGTTTTAGATGGGCTCACTCGACCTCCATTTGAACCCCTGGAAGAAGCTGACATGAAACACCTGTCACTGA